CACACACACACACACACACACACACACACACACACACACACACACACTGTGAAAGGGGAGGGAATATACCGTATTTTATACCAGGACTTTACAGTGCATCATTATCGAGAGACGTTTTTGTTCCTGAAAAATAAGTTTCAGGGTGGCATTCGCCCAGCAGGGGGAGTTCTTCTGAGAGTCCAGGTTCAGGAAACAGTTCCAGCTACTCCCACTTAGCCTCCAGGCGCTTCAGTCCGGAACAGGACAGTGTTTGGGGGCACCACATCCTAGCTCAACTGGGGACCCAGCGGAATTTGTAACCCCCGTTGGCTGTCCGAATGGTGAAGGCATTGCCCTGGGGGAAAGCGAGAGTGCGGATGGTGCTATGACTGCGGATGGGGGTGCTGAAGGAGCCTCCCTCTTCCAGCTCACTGTGGCTCAAGTTTAGCGCGCTCCGGCTGCAGTCTGTGCGCAGCCCTCGGAAGGCGCCGTGCAGGTTCCCCGGCACGCCTGCCTTGCTCGCGGGCTCCGGCTGTAGCCGCAGCCGCTTGGGGTCGCGGCTCTGCAGCGCTTCGTCGCAGCGCTCGGAAATCTCCCTCAGGATGGCGTCCACTTCCGCGCAATCCTGCCCCGTAGCACTGAACAACTCCTCCAGGCTCCTTTTGGCTGTCGCCTTGAGCAGGAAGGGCTCGGCTGTCGTTCCGCAATCCCGGGACTGTGTGATCATCAGCTTCTACAAAAGATGGGGAGGAGCGCCAAGCTGGGGTCGGCTGGGCTCCCCCGGCGCTGGGCGCGCAAAGCAGACCCGGGCGCCTTTTCGAACTCTGCGGGTTTAGATGCAGGCTGCAAGGGGCTCCGCAAGCTCTCAGCAGCCACCGCCCTTCTCCCAACCCCGCTGGGTCCCAATACTGGGAACAGGGTGGGGGCTACACAGGAACATTTCCGACGTCCCGCAGTGTCCCACAGGCCCGCACCCCACTTACATCCAGCACCGAGGCCAGGTGCCGGGTCCGACTGGCAAGTTCCTTCAGTTGAACGTTCCGCTCTTTGAGCGAGGCGATCTCCTCCTGTTTCTGGGTCAGCGTCACGTGCAGCTGCAGGAGGAGACCCAAATATGAAGAGGTAGGCCACTGTGGTCGGTCTCATCTGTATACTCTGCATGAACTATACCAGGATCCTAACGTCTAATCTGGAACTGGGGACCCAAGGGCACTTGCACTGGTGAGAATAATAATCACTTTTGTTTAGTTGTCCTTTGTTTTTACAAAGCACTTAGACAAAATGTATCTCAATCTTCAGTGTAGTGTGGTGGTGAAGAGTATGGACTTGGGCAACAAGCGGATACAGGTTCTGCCTCTGAAGTTCTATCTTCCTATACCTCAGTTTCCTAACCTGTAAAATTGGGTAGTAAAGTAGTATCTTGTTCAGTGGTTGTATTAGAAGAAAAAGTAAATTGATTAGCACAATACCAGGTGTATAGGAAGCCTTCAGTAAATATGGGTGTCCCTATTAAAAATCTGGTCGGGCAGGATCATTCCCGCTTACTGAGGTTGGAAACCGAAGAGCCACTGGAGCAATGGTAGCTAGGAGAAGCACCCGCCCGCGCACTGTTCTGACTTACACTGGGGCACATTCCCTCTCCTGCAACCCCCATTTCTGCCCAGAGCTCCATACCCTGTCCCCAACCCAGGATTCCTGGTGGCCAGCCCAGTGCCCCTACTTGGTTATTCTCAACGAGCGCGTCCCCCAGTGCCCTCTGGTTCTGGTCGGCCACCTCCTTCCAGTACTGCTCCGGCGGGGGCACATCCGGAGGGCGCGGCGGCGGTGACTGCAGGGCCCTTGGGTCCAGCGGCGGAGAGAGACAGGGCCCAAATGGCAATACTTCGCAAGGAGGGAAAGGGAAGTCTCCACCGGCCAGAGGAGGCGACATCAAAGAGGATGAGTCTGAGGAAGAGTGGGAGCTAGGTTCGCAGCCTCAGACTCGTGCCCAGCTAGCTACAGGGACAAAATGCCATGGCGGGTGTAGGGTTTATGTGAAGAAGTTAAGTAAAGCACCCCTCACTCTGCAATCCCTACTTTTCCTAGGCCCTTTCTGATCTTCTTCATACACAGCAGGCGCTCCATATATGCCTATTGAGTTGATCTGAATTCAGTCTCCACGGTAGCCAGGGCAAACCTGCCCAAAGTCCTCCCCCGTCTGCCGTTCTGTACACTCCTGTCACCCAACATTTCCTTGACCACATCACAGAGTAGGGCTCCCTCTCCCAGAACTCGCACCCATAAACTGGGAAAGCGCTATAGATTTCAGCGATTCATCTTCCCCATTAGAAAGTGTGTTGTCTCATAAATATGAAAAAGCCTGACCCATTGACGAGTTACGATGTTGACAGGTGCTGGGTTTACCACCTTCGCGACCACGAAATCGAAATCTGAACTAGTTTGATTTGCGGAGTGGGGGGACACGCCCACCTCCCTTTATTTAACTGCGAGGAGACTGCACTTGCCTGCAATGAGATCATCCACTGTGTCTCTGAAATCCTGCAGATCGAAGTCCGGTGCAGTTTGCAGAGAATGGTTCTGAAATAAACCAGAGGTGTGAAAGAGTTACTGTCAGGTCCAGCAGGCCTAAAACACTTCCCAGACCGACAGTCGCCCTCCCGGGCTTGGCAGCGGGTGTGCACGCACTGTCGCTCGCAACCGAGCCCCATACCTGAAAATCAAAGCCCCATCCCAGGCTTGGAACCCAGCAGGCTTGCACTGCCATGGTGAGGAGCGGCACTCGAAGCAGGGACCGGGTCCCGGAGGGTCCTGAAGGGCGCCGAAACTGTGCGGGGCTGTGTTTGAGGCGGGAGTCCTTCGGCGCTCAGCGTAGTGGCCCCATGCCTGGCAGCCGGCAGTCCCCGCGCCGCCTCACTGGCCCCCCACCAGCCAACCAGTTGCCGCCGTGAGGCCCGAGGCGTCCCTCCAGCGTCCCGCGGAACCTCCCCTCAACTTACCTCCGCCCCGCGGAGGAGCGGTGCCCTAAGATAAGGGGGCGGGTGTGCGTAAATTCCGACTTGCCTCCCAAGACCTGACAGCGTGCAGGATCATCCAAAGAAACAACCTGAGGCTCTATATCCCGCCGAGACTCAGTCACAGCTAAACCACCTTCTCCCCATACAAGAAGGGAAAAGGTAGGCTATGATGAGGGGGCAGGGATGCTATGGAAAGTGCTTTTGTTTGGCCTGCAGCAAGGGTGGCCCGTATTGCTCTTCCGTTTCTCAACAAGTCGGAGTTTACTTTCTCCCTACACTGTGATGCTCCTCCTACATCTTGAGCTGGACATCTCCTGGGTTCCCACAATGTGCCTGGGTGTGTGAGGCAGAAGGAGACAGGAGGAGGCTGACAGCCCCGGAACCTTCTTATTCCCTTAATTCGTGGACTTTGAGAGTCGACAAAACTAACTCTTTTACACAGAGTCCCTATGTTAATTCTCACCCAATGTAGGAAGCATGCAGGACCCAGGAAGTGATTCCTCCCCCTTTGAAGAATCTGAAGCTCAGAGAAAGTGAATTGCCCAGTCATCCAACTCTGACATGGAATTGGGGCTCCTGTCCTAGAATGATGGGGACTCTTTCAATCTTCTTTCCTCCATACCTCATTGCCTCTAGCGTTGATCTCTTTTTTAAGAAGAGCCTGTCTTCCAATGAAGACAGCACTGGGAAAGAGGAAAGAAGTTTCTCAAGGCATATGGTGTGGGGGAATGCATCCAATATGCCCATTAGAAATATCTATTCTACTGATTTCCACTATTGTTGATTGATTCCTTTGTGTTAATCATACTCATCTACCCTAAAGCCCTTCTCTACTATTCAAATATTGCCGAGAAGAGGAACTTACTCTGACCCTAACCTTGAAGAAAGTACAAGGATCAGCTTTCCTCAAGGAGGAGTGCTTCAATCTGGGAGGCCTCAAGCACCAGTTAGGAACTGAAGCTGTAAGGGTGAAAGGAGCTTAGAAAGGGCCGAGGCAAATCCTGAAGCACAAGTTGTGTCCTGGTTGAAGGAGCCAGAAACCAGACTCATTTTCCAAGGGCTGAAAGGTCTTCCTCTTAGTAGAGATTTGGCCAAAACCCTTACCACAAGGAGCCTTGAGGCCAAGTCAGGAACTGGGGCCCAGGAAATGCTTCTTCCTATGCTATACCAGGTCTTTGGCTCATCCTGGACCTCAAACAAACACTCTGTAGTGTTTCTGCTCTGTGTTCACCTTACCCAGCAGGAAGGAGGCTAGGAATTTTGACCTGAGTGTGCAATGGCCAGGGTCTTTCCAGGGGCTCTTCCTCTAAAGGGTGTCTTTCCCTCTCTACCAGCTCTCTCTCCCCCAGGAAAAGTCCTGGACCTCTTGGGCCATCAGGCATGAGCTCTGTGCTTGAAACTTTGAATCCTACCTTCCCAATTAGATAAAAATCTGGCATTTTTCCAAACCACAATGGCAGCCAAAAAAAAAAAAAAAGGCTCATACAGAACGTGATGTGAAATTTAAGTTCCGAATACTTAAGCAAAAATTCAACAAGAGCCTGGTTGGTTTTCATGACTTGCAAAATAAACATGTTGGAGTAAGATAGTGATTGGGCCTCTGGGTCAGTTGAAAGATGCTCAAGTATTGTCTTTCCTTATTTGAGCATCCAGATCGAAAAAGAAAAACAAAATGCCCTCTGCAGGGCAATGCCCACTCTCACCCCTTGCCTTACCACTCTCTGCTCTTGTAGCTACCTACCCTGAGTCCATCTGGGCTCTAACCCAATTCTAGAGGCACTTAGGGGAAGCCTGGAAGGCTGTGTTCTACCACCAACCTCAGTTCTCTGAGGTGGTCATATCTTCTGGAGTGTTCAGTGCTGGACATTTCCCCCATGGAACCCGTGTCCCCAGGACCTGCTGCCAGGAAGCTGGAACTGGCACTCCTCCTGTAGGTTGCATCTAGCTAAGACCTCCTGTCCTTCTGGGCACTTCATGTCCCATCGATGAGCCAGGCAGGCTTCTGGCCTCCCACACACCAATGCTGGGAGGTTCCCTTATCAACTTGGGGAGTGTCAGCAGTGGCAAGTGTTAGAAGTGGGATGGGAGTAAGGAAATAAGTTTTTGAGGAAAAGAAAAAGTCAAATACCTCTTTGCCCCATGAGGGTAAGTGACATGAGCCTTTGGAGGGGCAGAAAATGACTTTTTTAAAGTGCCCCACTGCTGAAGAGCCATCTCTGCAGAGAGGAACATTTGCTGTCAGATCTCTTCCACAGTTCTTTGTCCTTCGTCCCTCTTCCCCTAAGTGTAAACTCTATTCGTCTTTCCCAGTCTTGATCGAGTAATTATCCGTCAATCTTCACACTCCTTAGATACCCAGGGAATGAAAATTGTTAGTGAATGGCCGGAAAGGGAATGTTGGGAGCACTGACAGGACATGTACCAGGTGCCCAGCGCTCCATTTTGTTCCCGCCTCCTCGCCTGGGTCCTCAGTGCTCAATCTCCAGCTTGCTTTGTCACAGCTCCAGGGAATAGATGGGGAGAACAGGAGACCCCTTACCTGGAGGGAAGTCCTCCAGGTGAGCCCCTCTGTCCCAAGTTGGTCAGAACAACTCTGAGAATGCGGCCGACGCAAAAGACTAGGAGGGAGGAAGAAGTTCCGATCCTCGGGGCTGAGATTCCGCCATGTCTGCCCCCACTAGCTACATCTGCCTGCGCTCCGGGCCTGAGATGAGCCTCTGCGGAAATCAACCCTGGACTCCAAAGTCGGAATTTGGGCTGTCCGAGGCCGCCGGGCTTCAGGAGTTAAGGGGAGGTACCTGCGAGGCGGTCAAGTCACCACTAGGCGGCGCGTCGGACCCGAGTAGCGACGAGCAGTCCGCGAGGTCTTGCAGGTCTATGGTGGTGAGGGCTGAGCGGGGAGAACCGGAGACACGCACGAGGCGGGCCCTGAGTCTCTCCGCCAGGGCTCGCCACTGGCATCCCCGCCAGGACATCGGAGCCCGGGGGAGAAATGTTCTTCTGAGCCGCGCGTGCCCTACCCACCCAGCGCGGGGAACCCGAGGGATCGCGCGGGAGCCAACCAGGCTCACCTGGCAGCGCAGCGGGCTCCGCGTCCGGGGGATCTTCGTACACCGACACTGGGCTGCCGCCGCTGCAACCAGGGAAGAACTTCCGCGGAGGGGCGAACTAGCCGGACACAGAAACGATGAGCATGGGTCAGCCCACGGGACCCAGGGCGTGCGGACCCTGCCCGGCACCGGCCCGCGGCCCCACCTTCCTCTCCAGCTTCCCGGGCTTGACGAAAGACCGGCCCCGCAGCTCCAGCATCCGGTTGGGGCAGATGCTGTCGAAGGCTCGGCGTCCCGCCGCAGCGCCTCCGCACGACTGCATCCTGCTTCCCCGCCCGCTTCCGCCCAGGTGCTGGTTATTCGGCAGCGGCGTCTGTGGCCGCGGCTGCAATAGCGACCCACAGTCAGCGCTCCGCCTGGCGCCTGCAGAGGCAGGCGCGTGGCCGAGTTGGAGGCGAGGGGTGGCTGTGAAGGTGCAGAGGGAGGGCCAGTGGAGAGGGAAGACTGCCGCGCGGGAGGGGCGGCTCGCGCCTGAGCGCCGGAGGTGGCGCCTTCAGCCCCGGACAATCTGCGCGCGGGCGGAGGCGTTAAACCCAACCTGGCAACGCGGCTTCCCCCGGGAGCAGCGAGCGCGGGACCAGGGCCCGCGAGCGCCCTTTTGGTGAGCGTTGGCGCCGCCGCCTCCCGGCAGCGCCACAAAAAGGGAGGGTGGACTAGCCCCACTGGTCGCTAACACTGGGTACCGCCTTTCCGCTTTTGGACAGCAGGGATGGAAAAGTTAACGATTATTTCATTTTCTTCCCACCCCAGCCATAAGGCACGAAATAAACGCGGAGTGACACTCGCCAAAGCCAGACTCCGGCATTTGACCGCCTTGTAGAATTTGGTGGGGATGTGGAACCTACCCCAAAACTACTCCCAGATTACAGAAGACCCTTCCCCCAAGGCGGGGGGCGCACTTCTGGTCTTGCCTCAAGGACTTGCCCTTGGTTTCTCTTGGCATGATGCCTAGAGCCGCGCCCGTACCCTAACTCTGCACTTTCCCGAGCAGCGACGCCTGAGTGCAGCCTTTAAGAGTCAATTAAGAAAAAGCGACATCTACAAATTCTCCTCCCTGTTCGGAAAATGCCACACTGGACGGTCCCAAATCCCCTAAAACCCCAGTCGCTTTCTCCCCCGAAAGCCTCATTTGGCCACCGCAGCATTTGGCCACCCTGGGCACAGCTGGCCTTGCTTTCTCGGCGGAAGTCTTCGCTGCCCTTCCCAAGACTAGGGCCTTTCCCAAGAAAGGACATCTCTAAATCCCTGGGTGAGGGGATCGCTCAGACCACTCTTAGATCTATCGAATTTGAACGGTCACCTGAAATTATCTTTGTAACCTCCTATTGGGCACCTTGTTTGTGTCTTATACCAAGTAGTAGTAATGAAAATCCTCTTTTTTTTAAAGAGGCATGGGGTGCCTGGGTGGCTCAGTTGGTTAAGCGACTCCCTTCGGCTCGGGTCATGATCCTGGAGTCCCGGGATCGAGTCCCACATGGGGCTCCCTGCTGAGCAGGGAGTCTGCCTCTCCCTCTGACCCTCTTCCCTCTCGTGCTCTCTATCTCTCATTCTCTCTCTCTCAAATAAATAAAATCTTCAAAAAAATAAAGAGGCATGATCCCCTTTTTTAAAAAAAGATTTATTTATTTGAGAGAGAGAGAATGAGAGGGGGGAGGGTCAGAGGGAGAAGCAGACTCAGGGAATCCCGACGTGGGACTCCATCCGGGGACTCCAGGATCATGACCCGAGCCGAAGGCAGTCGATCAACCAACTGAGCCACCCAGGCGCCCAGGCATGATCCCTTTTTATTTCTCCCTATTATCTGGATTAATAAAGACACCTCTTAACAGTGTTGGAGATGGTTCTACAATAGTAGAGCTAGAATAGACTTAGAGACTTTTTGACCTATCTATAAATTCAGGGACCTGGCTGGGGTGAGGGCAGGCAGCTAGAATTGGTATGGTATCGCTGATGGTGAGGGGCTCTGGCTTCAGGGTCAGAGTACCTGAGGATTGGAACCAGGCTCCACCAGATCCATGAGCCCCAGATCTTTAGGAAAAGCATAACACTGGGGCACCTAGCTGGCTCAGTTGGTGGAGCATGTGACTTGATCTCAGGGTTGTGAGTTCGAGCCTCACGTTGGGTGTGGAGATTACTTTAAAAAAAATAAAACTTTTTTTAAAAAATGGAAAATCATAACACTGACTTCAATAGAGGTGCTATTAAAATGAGATTATGTAATGCAACTGGTGCTTGGTGTGGATAAGTTGGATGTTTTTGATGTTGTTTTAAGGAGGCTTTTCAGCCGCTCTTCCAGCCTCCCACAACTTATTCTTGGCTTTGTTCTGATTCCTGAGTAGCCTAGTCACTAGCCAGTCCTCCATCCCTACCCATCTTCCCAGTCTGTAAGAGGAGGAGGGGAGCTCTTAGTTGAGTTTTGAGAAGATCTCTCACCTGAGACCATTCCTGATTTTACAGAATAGACTCATTTTTCTTCAATGAGTTCCAAAGTGTAGAAAAATAGGGGCATCGTACATAAAAATGTGGCAGAAAGAGCTGGAATAGCATGAATATATGACTCCTATGACTCACATATGATTCTGCAACCAACACACCCATATCCATCTTGGCTGAGTGATGGAGTAAATGCTGGTGAAAACAACTTCTCCCCAAAGTCACATTTCTGTAAAAGAGCCAGTGGCCCTACCGCCACCCTCAACAGTGGGTTTGAGGGCTCTAGATATTTGCGGACTTGGGTCAGACGATACAATTTTTCCTTCTCCTTTTCATCATCACAGACCCACTTCTCAAACAGCTTTGGGATCACCACTTCCCTATCCCTGAGCCTAAGTTGAGAAAGCTCCTAGGGGGCTGAACATTAACATAAGGGGAGAGAAGGGATCTGAGGGGCTCAGAGTAAGTGGTCCTGGTGCTGGAGAGTACCTAGAGGGTGCTTGGGAAGAGAAGTACAAGGAAGATTCTCTAAATTTGGTTTGAATTTGCTTGCTTTTCATTTATGCAAATTTGTCATACATTTAAACTGATCCTAAAGATAGAACATGACGGAGTTTGTTCCCGCAAAACTTAAGGTTTTTTTAATCTTACAGAAAACTTGAAAAGAGTGCAATGAATAACAGTAGGTTCACCTACAATAGCTAACATTTTTTTCCATATTTGCCTTCTATTTCTTTCTCCAATGTTTTTTTTTTCTGTGCTGCCACCAGTCTTCATTTCTTGAAAATTTGCTATATGCCAGGACTGTGTAGAGGGATTTGTATGGAACACCTCATGAAATCCATACCTCTGAGGCGCCTGGGTGGTGCAGTTGGTTAAGCATCCAGATGCTTGGTTTTGGCTGAGGTCATGAACTCAGGGTTGTGAGACAGAGCCCCGCCGCAGGTTCTTCACACTCAGTGCAGAGTCTGCTAAGAATGCTCTCTCCCTCTCTCTCTAAATCTTAAAAATAAATCCATAACTCCATCCCACCAAATAGGTTATTGTTATTCCTAATTCTACAGAAGAGACTCCTGTGTAGAGATGAGACTTGCTCAAGCACTCCAGAGCCCACTTGTTTCATCACTATTTTATACTACCTCAGGATCTCATTTAGGCTTTACAACAGCACTATCAAGATTGTCAGGCTCAGAGAAATGAAGATATTTGCTGGAGGTGACAGAACTGAGATTCCTCTGGGTCTACAACAGACTCACCACAGTGAGAATGAAGGTGATGAGACAGCTGTGGAGTTAACTCCAGCAAGCCTCGGTCTTTTTTTTTTTTTTTTTTAGATTTTATTTGACAGAAAGAGAACAGAAGCAGGGGGAGTGGCAGGCAGAAGCAGAAACAGGCTCCCCAAGGAGCAGGGAACCTGATGCAGGACTCAATCCCAGGACCCTGGGATCATGACCTGAGCTGAAGGCAGAGACTTAAGCTTAACCCACTGAGTCACCCAGACACCCTCGGTCTCACTTCTCGACTCAGTTTTCTCACCTGTGTCATGACTGGAGGCAGGGACTGTGCTGGCTCTCCAAATATGTGCTCTATAGTCTCTACTGAATGGAACACACTGAGTAGATAACACACCTACCTCGGGAAGAGGGTTTTTTTAAAAGCCTTTCTACAAACCTGTTAAGTGGGAGAAGTTGAGCAGTGTGGCTAAGGATGTGGCTCTAGACTCCCAATCACCTGCCTTCAAATCCTGATTGCTCTACTATTGCCCACCCTCTCTGGGGTCCAGGGCTCTTCTCTGAAAAATGGGATAATACATAGAGTTGTTGGTGGATTGAGACAATGAATGCTGACCACAGTGCCTGGTACATTTAAGCACCCAATGATGGCCATGATTACTATGCCATTGTTCTCCTGGGCTCACATGCGGCAGGTGTAAGACAAAAGTGAACTGTTGAACCAAGTCATCGCAGGGTAAATGGGCTCTATTTATCATGGCCACAGTAGCCTGCAAAGCCTTCATTTCCAACATGTTAGTTGTCAGAGTAGGTCTTGCTTTGCCCTAGCTAGTGGGCATGTGTGGTTCCCAGAGCTTCCCAGCTGGGCATCCTCCATGTCCCCACCCCTCTAGACAGCATAGACTGCTGTGGGTTCTATTCAGGTTCACATCCCACCTTCCCTTTGGACCTCTGGGAATGAGCAGTCCTCAGCCTCATAAGAGGGTCACGGGATACAGGTCTACAAGTGACCCTCTCAGCGACTGGCATCTCAAAGGACCTAGTGTTCCCACATAGATATCCTAATTACAGAGTGGGAGCCAGGGAGGCAGGACCCCTCCGTCGTTACTACCTGTGTTGCCCAGCTGCCCTCACCTTCCCTCCCCGCAGACAACACAGGCAACAGTGGCATTCAGACAAACCAAGACTGATAGCCTGTTTATTGGGGAAAGACTCAGGTCTCTCAGGTGCACTTAGCAAAATAAATAAACGAGGAGACGCTACTATCGTACACTATTTACAATCTGCAGGACGACCTCGGGAACAAGTGGGAATCAGGAACCCCTCTATGGACCAAGACCGCACTCTTCCACAGCAATGGGAGAGGTCCAGCCACTGGGCCGGGGTAGACAGGAAACCAAAGGTGTATTTCATTTCAATTTCGGCGACAGGCTGCACTTCTCGCGTATCTGGAAGGGCAGCATGTGAGTCAGGGAGGTCTCGTTTATGGCCACCAGTAGCTGCAGCTTGCCCAGGCAGTCCTGCAGTGCGGCCTCGGGGTGCCCGCCTAGGCTCAAGTCCACCGGACGCGGGAGCTGTAGCATATGGTCAGCCAGCGCCAGGCAACAGATGGCCAGCAGGGAGGGAGTGTAGCTGGCGAAGGCATAGTCGGCCAGGCTCAGCTCCGCCACCCCGCGCGCCAGGGCTTGCGCCTCCAGGGCTTCCGAGACCTCAGCCTGCCCGGCCTCCACACGCGCGTGTGTGAAATGCTCCAAGAAGAAGCTGATGGTTGGTGCGCCCAGGCTGAAGTGCAGTTTGTGCAGCACGATGCACTCGAGGTTGCAGAGTTGCTGCCGGGAGAAGGCACCGCAGCACAGGGCCAGGAGCTGCTTCACGCGCGGCGGGTGCACTTCCACCTGCAACACAGGGGCGCTCAGCCCCCGCAGCGCAGCATCCAGGGCCGAGGCCCATCCCAGGGTCAAACCCGGGAGAAAACCAGGACTCCCCCCATCCCTTCCAGCGAGACAGCTGGGCCTTCGCCTGTTACTTGCACTTTAATCACCTGGGGTGTACTTCCAGCGCAGTTTCTCTAACTACTGTCCAGCTAAAAAAAGGTTTGAGAAATTTTAAATATTTTCCCCCGGAGTCTAGAATAGCAGGGCTACAAAGAGCTGTTGGGATTTACTTCTGGGACACTCTTCACCCTATTTCTTTAGGGGCCAGCTGAAAGGACCGTTAGTAGGGAAGGTGGGGGGGAGCTATTGTGAAATTAAAGCTGTGGATGTATACGTTTGCAAATGCATGACAGAATGAATTCGGAGAGCCCAGCACTAAATCTTCTGCGCTGGAAAGCCGGGTGGTGGCCAGAGAGTGGCTGTCCCCCAGACCCCGCTCGGAGGTACCTGTTTGCAAGCGATGAGCAGGGACGTGACCCCAAGCAGCTGGAAGCAGTCTGCAGCCACAGGCGTGGTGGTAAGAAAGCGGTCCAGCGTGTTCACCGTCAGGCAGAGCGATTCGAAGGAGAGGTGGAACTGGCGGTGCACCGGGATCAGCCAGCTAAGCAGTTTACAGCGGGATTCCGCCGTGACCTGCGCGGAGGATCGTGGGAGGAGGACCGGTTAAGCCGCGGGCAAAGAGGGTCTGCAGAAGGAACCTGCCAAGAAAACTCAGGGAGCCTCTCTGGAGGAAGGCACAAAAAGGAAAAACTTAAAAGCGCTGGAAACTGGGAAACACTGGGACGGCGCTGCTGCACAAAGAGCAATGGTCGGGCAAGGAGCCGGAACCCTTGGATTCGTACCTGGCTCTGCGCCGCGTGTGTATACACATTACCTTGTAATCCTCTTGGCAATTCAGTGAGGGGAGAGGGCCACCACTTTGCAGATGAAGAAATAAGCTCAGAATTGTTAAATCACTTGCCCGGGGTCGGGAGGAGTCCTGACTCGAACCTAGAAACTGTCTTCACTCCTCTGCATTCTACCGTGCTCCTGCTAACCAGTATGGAAACTTCGGGCAGGTCACTTAAGCCATCTAGGCCCCACTTTTCTCCATTTGTAAAATGAGGCTGTTGGCCCGGCCCTCTAAAACCCCTTCCCGCTCGGACCGCGAACCTCCGTGCCCCGGGGCGCGTCGGAGGGCAGACGGAGCAGAAGAGGAAAGAGCCCGAGGAAGAGGAGCGGGGGTGGGGACCTCGCTCTCCCAACGCCTCACTTGTGGCTGCCGCGCCAGCGACTCCCGCGGGTGGAAGTGGCTCTCCCGCGCCTTGCGGAAGACATAGCAGCTCTGACCGTAGTCACGGAAGGTCTGTAGATCTAGCTGCACCAACTGCTGGGCAGGAGCGGGTAGGGGGCTGCAGCCTAGCGCCGCGGATGCTGCGGGACTGTCTGCCCCATCAGACCCGGAGCTGGGGGACTCGAACACGTCGCAAACACCGGAGTCTCCGGGGAGCGGGCACGGGTTCAGTGGCTGCAGCGGCTGTTTCCTCCGGAGGCGTGGACGCCTGCTCTTCTTCACCGGGGCGCGGAGGTTCTGGTCGTTGTCCCGCTTCCCAGCCCGGGCGGCGGGACTCACGAGACTGGTGGGGCAGGGGGTCACCATGGTGCAGCCTGGTGGCCGCTCTACGACTCCTCGCCTGCGACAAACCGAAGGCGCGCTCCAGAGTACGAAGTAAGCTGCCCAGAGCCGCGGCGAAGCCCTAAGTACTCGGCGGGCGCCTTCCCCCCTACCACACCCCCGGCTTCTCACTGGATGATTACTGAGCCGCACGAGGCCGCGCTTTTCCGGAGAAAGAACCGCTTGCGAGCAAGCTGCGGGCTGGGTGTAGCTTGCACCGCCCGCAATGGAGAGGAGGAGCTACGCCCGGCTGAGCGCACCCGCCTTGCACTGCTGGTTCCGCGCGCGTCCCGCGTTACCCAGGTAACGGAGCCGGGGTTGCGGCTAGAGCTGCGCCCGCGGCCGGGGGTGGGGCGGCGGCTAGGCGGAGTGAGCGCCGAGTCCCGCCGAGGGGCCGGACTGCTCCGGGGAAAAAAAAAAAGATTCTCGCAGCCGCCATCTCCGCGTCCTGGTCCAGATAGTCTCGAAGTGCGATCGCCCTTCAGGCTGGCTATAATCCAGGTCGGTAATTTGGTAAAGATCAGTGTCCAACCTTTCAGGGCTCCAACGAGAATTGTCAGTACAGTTTTCCTCGGTGACCCATACAAGCAATAATTCTAGTTCGATTGCTTTTGTAATTTTTGTTTTAGGCAGGACCCTAGGATCCAGTATCCCTCCTAGCGCTGGTCTCGGGGAGCAGAGCCTCCACAGGATCTTCTGCGCTGTGTATCTGGGAGCTAGTCCAGCCTCCCAGGCAGGCACTCATGCGCAAAACAAAAGACTGCCCCGTGACCCTCAGACAGCAGGTCTGAACTCCTGTAACCCTTGCTCCACACTTGTCCCACCAAACCCAAGTAAACGGAGCGGTTTAAGGATATAACATGGTTGGAGCGTTGCACTGCTAGCTTGATCGAATTCCTCAATCGGCCTCTTCTGTTTTAGGTCATTAGCTTCTAATCCTCTGCCACGGGTAGCTCACCCTTCCTTGGTTATTCCCTGCTCTCCGTTTCTGCTCCTTCAGAAGTTCACAAAAGTAGAGCTGGAGCGGGGGCGCCCAGGTAGGAGAGACGGGGCTGGACGAGGCAGTTTCCTCAGGACACTGCTGGTTTAGAACCTAGCCTCCTGCCCTGGTAGAAGTTGGAGGCCTAAGCCTGAGTGAATCTTCCTAAGGGGTACAAGTAGTATCTAGTCAGCCTTATGGGGAGGTCTCAGTGGCAGGAAACCCACAGACCCTCAGCCTGATGAACTTTCCAGAGGCACTCCCAGAAGTGAGCTTGTTAGGTGTCCCAAGAGCAGGTTCAACCATTCCCACCTGATTTCAGAAGAAAGCTGACAAATTTATGTCCTCAAATTGAAATCCCTGTCTCCAGAACTTTAGTTGGGTGTGGGGTGTTGTCTCTTAGAGATGCAGGAAAGAGAAAAGAGATGGATTTGGAGTTCTGGTCAGTTTTATTCCTATTTCCCTGTAACTTTAAGCAAGGTCTTTAGTCTCTAGACCTAAATAGTTTCATTTGTCACTTGAGAGATTAGCTAAGAACCACCTGTCTGTCAAGATACAGGTGCCAGGACTTGCTGTCTCCTCTCAAGCTATTGTTGGGGAACCATTATGGGGTGAGCAGTGAAATCTGTGCAGAGGGGTCAGCTGTCAGACTTTTTCCTTGAGAAGCTTTCTGGATGAGGAGGAAGGACCTAGGAATCCCGATTCTTCTCATCAGCCCAGATGGCCATGCAGGCCAGTGAAAAGAGCACAAAGTCAACTCCCAGGGTCAGAATTGTCACTCCCATTTATTGGTCATCATGGGCTGGCTGTTTACCTTCTTGGAGTCTCTGTTTCTCATTTGTTAAAAGTGGTTATTAATACTTGCCTTGAGGACCAAGTGAAATATGTCAAAAGCTCAAAGTCCTTTTTAAATATAAAACAGGGGGATTACATTAAAGCCTCCCTTGGGAAGTCAATATTCTCACCCTGGAGATACTCTGAAAAAGCAGAAGGATCGTTTTATCCACCAGTGGATGTGAGGCTAGTGTCTGTAGTTAGGGTTAACTCCCAACAGAGGGTGCCTGAGCTTTGTACTGATGGGTCTACTCCTCAGTATTTGTGGGTATGCCTGCCATGCCTGGTCCAAGACAGTGATCAAGGCTGCATGGGTCCTGGGGCTCCTGGCTGGCTTAGTCGGTGGCGCATGAGACTCTTGATCCTGGGGGTTGTAAGTTCCAGCCCCAGCTGGGCTGTATAGCTTACTTAAAAAAAAAATCCTTTTTTTTAAGATTTTATTTATTTATTTGACAGAGATACAGTGAGAGAGGGGACACAAGCAGGGGAGTGGGAGTGGGAGAGGGAGAAGCAGCCTTCCCGCTGAGCAGGGAACCTGATTTGGGGTTCGATCTCAGGACCCTGGGATCATGACCTGAGCGAGGGCAGATGCTTAACTGACTCAGCCACCCAGACTGCCAACCCCCCAAAAAAACCTTAAAGAAAAAAAAAAAAAGAAAAGGCTGCATGGGTCTTTCCCTCATAGAGCTGACACTCTAGTGGGGCAAGTGAAGAACCATGTGACACATTTAAAAAATGATTATGATAGAGGATCTGAGTAAAATACAGGATACCCAGTTAAACAAATGTCAGATAAATTTTAGCATGAGTATGTCTCAAATATTGCATGGGACATTGCAGTACCTTGTATGTACATTAAATGTTTAGACTTTACCTTAAGCCATTGAAGAAGGCTTACCAAAATAGAATCTGTCTTTTGTTTTAAAAGATTATTCTGGCTGATGTGTGAAAAATGGATTGTAGGGGACAAGAGTGGAGGCCATTTAGGTGCAGTATTTGTGGTATGAACAATACAGTGCAAGTGAAGGCCGTCTTATTTTCCCTATGAAGGGTCTTTAAAGTTAATTTTTCTAATCTCTCTGGGACCTGGGTGCAGTGCACCTTTAAGGCACTAGGTAAATCTAAAATACTTTAAAGGTGTAGAACCTAATTAAACCCAGGCATCTGTAATGAAAGCTGCTTAACCATGATTTGGCCCTGCTTATTTTCAGGTGTGATTTTTGAAATCTGCAGGATGAATAATGGAACTGAAGTTATCTTGTTTGTTTGTTTTTCTTTCCAGTCTGGCACTCAAGCTTCAGTCAAAAGCCCCCACCATCACCCTGCCCCAACTCTTGGACTCTGATTGAGGTAGGAAGAATACATTTGCTAACAGTACCTTGTTTAGCAGAGTAAGTGTGTTGGACTTGATACCTAGGGGTGGATAGCTTTGTTAGTACCTCAAATGATCCTTAAGCTCACTTTTGATTTTAAGTCACTAAAATTTATATCTGTCACTAAAAATTGTATTTACTTAAGACTATTTTCTATTAATGTATTGAAGTGCCCAGATTGAGAAGTATTTAAGGTAAAGTCTGACAAGTTTTTCTGGTATTTAGTAAAGAGCAGGAATTTTCTTTTAAGGATTTTATTTATTTATTTGAGAGAGAGAGAGAGAGAGAGCATGAGTGGAGAGAAGGAGAGGCAGACTCCCTGCTGAGCAAGGAGCCTGATGCTGGCTCCATCCCAGGACCCTGGGATCATGACCCGAGCCGAAGGCAGACGTTTAACCGACTGAGGCAGCCAGGCGCCCCAAGAGGAGTAATTTTCAACACCGTTTTTAACGCCAGACCCTTGACTTGCACATCTAAATGTCCACTAGTATCGGCCTCTGGGGAAAAGGCCATCTCTTGGTTACCTGCCTTTCTGCTGCTTTGCCACTTACCAGTTCAAGAGCTCAGTGCACACACTCAAGTGCATTGCTTCTTCCCTCATGCATACGTGTGCTTTTTCTCCCGATTCACACCCACCAGTGGCATTCTGCCTGGCACAGGTGGTACCGTGTAGTGGTGACGAGCTTCCGCTCTGGAGTCCCCTCCTGGATCGTCATCCCACCTCTGCAGCACACAAGCTCTGCAGACTTGGGCAAGTTACTCAACTTTTTTATTCCTCTTGTTTCCCCTAGCTGTTAAAAAACGGGGTGATAAGAGTCTCCTGTAAAATTGTGAGGATTAAATAAGGCATACAGCATATGCATGAGTGCTCAGTATGAGTTAGCTGCTGCTCTAATTATGTTTTTCTCTAGCTAAGGTATGTGTCTTTCTGCTAAACAGTGTGGCTAAAATAGTACCTGCTGCAATTTTGCTGATCGACATACATATATGATCAGAATTGGACATTGAGAAGAAGTCAAAGAGTAGTAAGCACAGTAGCATTATGCCCGAGGCCAGTCCAGTCCCCAGCTCTTCTGAAATATGGGAGACTAAGTGACTTGTTTCAGTGAGCCTTGAAAGAATTTCTTCAAACCATGATGATAGCCTACTGCTCTCTTTGCTGCTTTCCCTTTAGATGGTAGAATTGCCCATGTAGATCAGAAGTGTCAGGAGGGAGCAGTTCTCATAATAATTCACTCAAAACAAAAATGCAAACTAAAACTATCATGAGATATTATCTTGTATGTAATCTGATTGATAAAAGTCCATACTTTTGATAAGAGGATGCGGGGAAATAGGCCTCCTATGTTTTTGGTGACAGTGTAAGTTGGTACAGCTGTTTTGGAAGATAATTTGGCAAGATTTATAAACATTTAAAATGAACATAATCTTGAGCTCAGCATTTCTATTCCTGGATAATTACTCCATATCAATGCAAATTTACTTTATAAAAAAGATATTTATCACAGTGGCCATATTAAAAGCAAAACATTGATTGTCTTCAATAAAGGACGTCTAAAACAATATGTGGCCACTAAAAAGAATGAGGCAGATGTTTATGGACTAGATGTAGAAGGATCTTCAAAATAGAGTGTTAAACAAAATAAAGCAAGGTGCAAAGCACTATGTCAAATATGTTGTCACTGTGTAAAAAAAAAAAAAGAATACATACATATATCCTTATATATGCATAGAATCTCCCTGGAAAGATAGGCAAGAAGCTGGTAACACAGGTTGCTGTTAGGGAGAAGATGTGGGAGACAGAAATAGAGAGCGGGGTGGGGGGGGACTTCCTATTGTACTTTCATTGACCTTTCGAATTTTGAACTCTATGTGTGTGTTACCTCTTTTTAAAAATAATTTTGCGGGCGCCTGGGTGGCTCAGTTGGTTAAGCGACTGCCTTCGGCTCAGGTCATGATCCTGGAGTCCCGGGATCGAGTCCCACGTTGGCTCCCTGCTCAGCGGGGAGTCTGCTTCTCCCTCTGACCTTCCCCCCTCTCATGTGCTCTCTCTCTCTCTCATTCTCGCTCTCTCAAATAAATAAATAAAATCTTTAAAAAAATAAAAATAATTTTTCATATGCAGAGGGTCGAAAGCTAGAAAACAAGGAACCCAGGTAAGGCCTGAAAAGCAGAGATTGCTATTACATGCGGACATCAGATGCAGTGCTCGGAATGGGACAGGATCTGGTCTGTTGTTTTGGAGGTTGGATTATATCAGTGAACAGAACCGACAGCCCTGTCTTCGCAGAGCTTCTGTGGGGTGTGGCAGTGCAGGGAGAGACAGACGACAGAGGGACTGGGACGCTGGGAGTGCCAGAGGCAGGCTGCATTATTTAATATGTTGGTCAGATAAAGCTCATAGGGAAGATTAGGGCAGAGAACTCGAGGAGCTGGGGGAGTTGGCCACATGGGCATCTGGGGGGAAAGCATCCTAGCCAGAGAAAAGAGCAATGCAAAGGCCCTGAGGCATGAACAGGTCTGCCCTGGGGAGGAAGAGCAAGGAGGCCAGTGTGGCTGGAGTAGGAGTGAAAAGGAGAGCAGCTGATGACGTCAGAGAGGTAATGGGGCCGGATCACAGAGGGCCCTGTTATTGCTAGCAGACAGGTCGTAAGACTTCCTATGCTTTGTTACAGTGCACTTTTACTTATTGTAGCATTTAACCATCACCTCAACCATGTGAGATAAGCACAGTTATTGTCCCCATTTTACAAAATGAGAGAATCTTCAGCAAGGATAAGGAGCTTGCTTGAAAATACACAGCTAGTAAGTGGAAAACTAGGACTTAAACCCAAGGCTGTGATTCTAGTCTGGACACTCATCCCTATGCTGTTCTGTGTTTGCTAAATGTTAAGAGAGAACCAAGAAAAGGCTTTGAGTCCACCCTTGGGCCACTGCTTAGAGAGGAGAGTAAAGCTGAGGGGAGAGAGCTGGTTGAACTTTCTTAGAAAAACCTTGGAGGCTCTGTGGTGTAGTTTAGCAAGGCAGGCAGACTTCCCTGCCCCAAGTATGTGCCAGGCGGTACAAGTTGAGCTAGAATCGGGAGTGGGGAAAAGAAGTACGGCTTGGAGGCTAAAGGAAGTGTGAAGCCATTTGGAGTGTGATGACCACAGCCTGTGTCTAATTTCTATGAACCAGCCACCTCTTGGGAGGTGATTACATGAGAAAGTGACAGTTCACTTAGTTTCTCACAGAGAGCACAAGTTTCAGTTGTCTGGAGAGGGCAAGTTCGGTTACCTGGTAGCCTTGCTGGGAGTGCAGAGAAGGTCTCAGAAAGCAGGCTGGCCTGAAGAGTGATGGAAACTGGTGGCTTTGTACTTAAGTAGTGACTGATAGGCTGTTCAAAAGTTCAGCTTTCCGGGCGCTTGGGTGGCTCAGGGGGTTAAGCATCTGCCTCTTGATTTCGGCTCAGGTCCTGATCTCCAGGTTGTGAGATGGAGCCCCACGTCATGCTCCCCAGTCAGAGGGGAGTCGGCTTGGGTTTCTCTCCCTTCCTCTGTCCCTCCCCTCCCCCTGTACCAGCTCGCTCTCTCAAATAAATCTTAAAAAGAATAAGTTCAGCTTTCATTCCACCTCCCGCTCTTGGTGTGAACATATATTTCAAATGAAGTAGTAAATCTAAGACAAACCAGCAATGGAAGATTTCTAAAAAAGATCTCCTGTTACTAGACTGTAACTGTACGGAGATACTGTAGTTGTCTGTCTCTGTTCTTCCACAGCCAATATTTAACAGGTGCCTTCTGAGTGCTGGGCCTCACTCTAGGTTCGCAGCAGAGGGTAGGACACACAAGGCCCCTGCTTGCATCGAATGGGGAGGGGAGAGGTTGAACACAAAACAGTAACAAAATATAAACGTTTTCAGACCATACATAGTAAGTTCTGCGCAGAGATTTGAGTGTGCAGGCATAGAGTGTGGATGGACGGGTGCTTTAAATTGGATGGTCAGGGATGCCCCTTTGAAGAGGTATTCACCTGTACTGCTTGCATTCACAAGTGAAAAATAAGTCTTTTTCTTTTAATGTTGTGCAAATCCATTCCCTAAGCGGGATTTCTCATAGTACAGTTTACGTTGATATATCATTGTTTGGGGAGCAGTATTTTCTGGTGGGGAGGGACTCCTACAAAGGTTTAGATTATAATAGTTAAATTCTCCTAAAGTAGTTCTCCTGAGGTGATTTGCAAAGAAGTGAGCGCGAGGTAGCCCCACTGTATACAGTGCATTTTCCCCAACCAAATGAAAGATAAATCTCCTACTTCTCTGTGTTTGTTGTTTTTGCTTTTATTTAAATGATGAGGCTGCAGCCTGCAGAAAGGTCTTCTTATGCCCCGTGAGGCATCCTCTGTTGAAATAACCTCAGGCTTCTCTGTTAAACAGGGGAGATCTACCCCGTCTTTTCTTTCTCTACCACACAGAAAACAAAAGAGGGCAGCCATTAGTATCTTCAGACTAAGGTAAAATAACCCCCTCTCCCAAATGTAAAGCAAAGCTGGTCCTATTGAAAAACAACAAAGGGAAAGGCTGAAGGGCACAGTGTGTAATGCACCTGCTTGAATGTCAAATCACAGGGTGCGGATCAAAACAGAGCAGCTGTTGAGGGCTGCCTAGTCATATGTTTCTTAGAATTTATGAGAAAAGGCACCAAGGGCCTGCAGTTAACAAAAGCTCTTAGCAAGTAGCAGGGTAGATTGCCCTGTTGAGAGGCAGAATCCACTCTCTAGGAGTGTTCAGCTATGTAGATTTGAAATGAATGGATGCTGTGGCTGGATTTTTTTTTTTTCTTTCCATGTGGCAAGTCTGGATGCTAAAGTTGTATCCTTCAGGAACAATGTTTCCTGGTACTTGGGAGAGACAGACGAATGTTCGGTTTTCCTCGGCATTATAACCCACATTTCTGTATTACTATTATATCTGCTGTTTCTCTTTCAGCTTGGAGGAAT